ATTGGTGCCTACGTTAGAAGAATTCTCTCATTTATTAGGAGTGCTTGTGCTTGATCAAATACCATTCACTGGTTTAGAAGAGACTCCAAAACCTGAAGTTATTGCCAAGGCTTTACATTTGAAGAGACCTGACATCGTGTAAAATTGGGAGACAAGAAGTGGAGTTAAGGGTTTCTTAGCCAAGTTTTTATTGGAGAAGGCTTGTATGTTCTGGGAAGATATAGATTTTCAAGCTTTTGAGGATATCTTGGCCCATCTATGGTTTGGTTCTATTTCCCAATCTGGATCAACTCATAGATGTGAATGCCGTCAAGGTTTTTCTCTCTCGTAATCTCATACCTACTTTGTTTGGAGACATTCTATATTGTTTTCACACTCGCACCATGAAGAAAATGGGTACTCTTTTGTGTTGCATTCCATTACTCTCTAGCTGATTTATTTCGCACCTACCCCGAGTGTTGTGAAGAACGAGCAAGGCTTAAGATGGTCTAGTAGGTTGATGTCACTCACACATTCTGATATTTATTGGTGTGCTCGATCTATGGAGGATATTACTATTATTGACTGTTGTAGGGAATTCCCTAATGTCCCTCTACTTGACATTAGGGGAGGTATTACCTTGTTTGAAGCGACTTTAAGAACTGCCTACCCCACAGTAAAACTTTTGGTCCTTACTCCCACTAGTGGAAAAGTTTCAGTCAAGTCTACACAAGCATGTTTCCCTCCTACTCACCAGTATATCATAATATTTGTTGGTCTAAGTGTCAATTTCCCCCCTTTTAGTCAGTCAAGAAATTCACAGATGCATTTTTCTTCACAAATACTCAGACACGCCTAAATATATTAAATAAGACATCGCTAACAAAGTGATGCCAATATTTGAATCATAGAAACTCCTTAAAGTGAATGATGTGTTTTCCAAAAATATCCAAGCATACATTGCAGTAAATAATAGGGTAAATCTCATCAACAAAAAATAACGTTTTCTTAAATAAAAAATTTAGTATTGTAATCTTCTCTAACTCGAACATTAATCTTTACACTTACGTGCATAAAAGGTATTCAATTATTTTAAAAAAAAATATTATATGTCACCACATATGTATTTCAATTCTATGTAAATATGTCAATTAATTTTTTATCTCAAAATTTTTTACTAGTCTAAAAAGTGTGTAAGGTTTGCTCAAAATTACAATATTCATTTTACCTCTGATCTTAACCGATAGAAGAGGTGTCTAAAAAACCTCTTACTTGTCACTTTTTTTTATAGGACTCCCTGATGAATGAATATTTTTTCGGCTCTTTAATTTTAAACCTTCTCATATTTTTATTTTCTAGAGAGTATAAGTGACTCACAATCTAATTTGTTTGAAACAAAATATTTAAATTTTTTTTAATTACATATTTTTAAAAATTATAGTTTTAGAAAAAAATTCTAAAATAATATATTTTTCAAACAAAATAAAAAATTGACTTTATTTTTTATTTTTAAAATTTTGAATATTTTTTGAATAAAAATGTCGTTTTTTTTCAAAAATAATTTTAACTTAAAAAGTTTTTTTCAAAAAATAAAAAAATGTCGTTAAATAAAAAAATCACTTTTCTTCTAAAATAAAAATATTGATTTTTGTCTAAAATAAAAGTTGTTTTTTTCCAAAAAAAAAAATGTCGTTAAAAAATAAAAATCACTTTTCTTCTAAAATCATTATTCTTTTTGAAAATTAAAAAAATATCGATTTTTCTGAAAATAAATAAAATCTTCTTTTAAAAAAATTAAAAAAAACTTGGTTTTTTTCGAAAATAAAATAAAAATTTGTTTTTTACGAAAAAAAATGGTCACAAATAAAAATAGAAGTCATTTTTTTTTTCGAAAATAAAAAAATCAATTTTTTAAAATACAAAAAATTCAATTGTTTTCGAAAAAAAAAAAACTTGTTTTTATAAATAATATTTTTTCAAAAAAGTTTATGGAAAAGTTGGGAAGTTGGGGCCTAAAGGCTCTACTTGAATTTTAAAGATTTTTAATTTAAGAGACCTACTTATTTTGGGGCTCATTTATTTTAAAAAATTCAAACTCTCTATATTTTAGGGTCTTAAAAATTAGGTCCCTATCTCCAAAATTGACAGCTCTAAGTGATAGTGATGAGCTTTTGGGCCCTTCCTTTTTCACATTGAGATGAATACCGCATCTAAAGAAAATACAAAGCACTATGAATGAATGCTAAGCTGGAAGAAGAAAGTTACAGTGTGGCAATGGCAGGCCCCTATGAGAAAAGAAAAATGGAACTTGAGGAAATCAGTTATAGCTTCTTTTATTCTTCCATTTGAATGATAAAAATTTCCATTTTTATTCTTCATTTTTACATATTATATACCTATTCCAACTTTGACAAATGTATCATTTATGATGAATGGCATGCATGCACATGCAGACACGGTTGCATGCATTAATTCATTATTCATGTCTTATGTCACTTTTCATCTCTTCATATTTTCATGAAAATGTTTCTTTTTGTAACCACATATGTATCAATCTTCACAAAAACCATGTTATAATTGTCTGTCACTTGCACGTGAAGATACACATTTGAAAAGAGGATTCAAACCCTTATGATTATTTTATAACTAATCATTTCAGATTTGATTTCAAAAATTATAAAGTCAAATTCTTACTATAAACTTGAGATAAAACGCTAAATCAATCGATATAAAGAGTGGCTACATAATGTAGCACTTGGTAACAAAGTGAGAATTGAAAGATGCCACTGAAATCAAAGCTTTATTTAGAACCCATTCATACAAAACAGTTAGAGGTCACTGTTAAGTTACCAAAAGACAAAACCGCGTTTTGCCACTATGTGAAGTAATATGTATGAACATGTGAGAACTTTCTTTCTGGTGCTTTTTCAGAAGCACATGTTGTGGGTTCATGTATACCATTTGGATTCAGCTAGTGCTTTCGAGTTCAGGTAGCTAGATATAAGAATCACTTTGAATGTTAATTTATTGCTTTTGCAAATTATAGCAACCTAAGGTTTGGGGGCAAGCCAGCTCACCTGTTCATGCATGTATGACCATGTGATAGAAATTAATTGCTGCTGCAATTGGAATATTTCACTACTTACCTAGGCACCCTATTATACCTACCTATATATGATCAGAAAATTATTGTAATGTATTGTGCCCAACAGTTTTACGATTATTTACTTAGTTTCCTAGTTTGCATTTGATTCCGTTTTAATGCATCAGAATTTTTAATTGTCACTTTATCTATATGATTTGTAGTGTTGCTCCATCTTGATTATTTGTCTAATATCTAACGTTTTTTAAAGGAAAAAACATCATTTATATTATAATAATTTTATTAAACATATAAAATACGGATGGTAATGGGCAGGGTTTAGACATGACACTATAATATCCATCTCTATATCTACGGTTTAAAAAAATCCTCGTACCCGAATCTAAACCCAAACCCGCACGGGCATCAGTATCCATATCCGTGCCCGTACTCTATGAATACCGTAACTGTTTACCTGGGTTTGTAATAAAATTAAATTAATTAATTATAAAATATGATATAATTTTAGTTTTTTTTTTAACTATTAAAAAAATTATAGATGTTATTGTTGAGTTAAGAAATAAATAAATATTTTTATTAAAATGTGTAACAATTTAATAATAATATTTTTTTTTAAATTGATAAAGGTGCATTTCATATATTAATATAAATAACATTATAAAAATATATAGTACGGATATGAAGTGCAGTGGATAGTAAGATATTTGTACTCGCACTCATATTCACTTATTTTAATAGGTAATTATTCGTGTCCATACCCATTTTACAGATTTTTACCCTACCTGTTATAGATATTTTTTACGAATATCCATAGAATATGGGTCAAATTGCCACCCCTTTATCAAAGTTAACAAAGATGTCATTTAGATTGTTGGTATACTGCAGAGTATCCAATGGGAGCCAAAGGCCCTGTAACTGTTGTGTGTTTATTTTAGATTGTAGTGGGAGCCATAGGTTTAGCTATATAACTCTAACCCAATACTTTTAGAAGTAGACTTTAAAACTTCAACGACATATTAGTAATTAATAAACTTGTGATACATTTGTTTAACAAACATAATATTACAAAAATTAATCACAACTTTTTATTAATTTAAAAAATAAAATAAAAATAATTTTTCTTTCTCCTTTATTGTCACCACCACCCCATAATTCTAATTAAAAAGTAGTAATAAATTTAAAAACTTTCTCTCCTTATTGGTGGTTTTTAAAAATATAAATATAATTGTGTTCCTATACAAGTATTTCAAATATAGATATAAGTGTGTTCTTATACAAATATTTCTCTACATTTTTTAATCCTGATCGAAAGTTCAATTTTGTTAAAACATTTTTTAAAAAAACGAAGATTATATTTGAAATATGCAAACTCAATGGTGAGATAAAAGATGCCATCATTTATTTCAAAGATAAATTGGGTGCTCACTTTAACGCATTCATCTTTCTCTTTTAAAATAATAACACATTCATACCTATAACTATAAAGAAACATACCATTCCTATGAGCTGGATTTACCAAGACTATACCTAACCGTGTAAATCACCTGACAAACCCACAAGACTGAGCACGTGAAAATGTGATTGTCAATCATGGGGCGGAATAAGATAAAATGTGACTAGTCAATCATGGGGCGGAATAAGATAAAATGTGACTAGTCAATCATGGGGAGTTCTAAAATTAGAGAGAAAAAGATCAAGAAAATATTTGATATTTTAAGTTTTCTTGCTTCCATGATATCGTGAGGTATTGATGTTCATCAGATAACTAACCAGGATCATGATCGAATAGGCACAACAAAAATGACAGGAGGGCCATAGAGAATAGCAGCACAGATAGTAATTGTACACAAACCAAGAGCCCCTAATTATTCGAATATGACTAAATCATTTGGCCCATTAACCGCACTAACATGATTGATCATTTCTCCTTCTTATTCTGCTCGGTAAGCATTTTCAAAACGGTTACCAATGCTTGCAAACGATCCCATATGCTAAGCCCATATAGTGCTTCAACGAGTGACTCCTGAAACTCAAATCCATTTTCTGCCACGGGATACTATGACAGATGAAAAGTGCATCTCAGTATCTATCTACTAACAGTGAAGTCTTAAGATATTTATGAAAGGTTTTCCAGACAGACCTGAATAGGCTTAGGTATTTTTGTCTTGATGAATGGCCACCATCTATCTTCAACAACTGATTTTACAAGGCAGCATGCTCGCAGGCCTTCCACACCACCAAAACGTCCAAATCCACTGTGTTTCACTCCCCCAAAAGGAAGGGACTGGGAAAAAAGAATGCAACTTTACTTCAGTGGAAATTTAAAGAGGTACTGTTTAGCTGAAAGAACTGCAAAATTATAATAAGCAAAAGGAGAGCCTAATTTAAAACAATTTGTGCCTTTACCCAATGACTTGACCTTTTGGAAGAGTTGACATGGTAACTCTCTATGACAAGTGATCTAGACTCCAGGATATTATAAGAAATATTATAAATATTTTATAATATCCTTTATATTAATTTAGAGTATCTTAGAATATCTCCTAGTATCATGTATTTGATATTAGTTATTATTATCATGATTTATTTTTTATTTAAGATTGAGTCTATGTATCCTATAAATAGGGATAAGTATTGAGTCTTTTGTATCAAGTCGATAGCTATTATCAATAATACTTTTCTCTCATCTTTTATACATAATCATGATCCATATAGCCGACCCTAGTTAGTGGGATAAAATTTGGTTGTTGTTTTATACATAATCACAAATTCAACATGGTATCAGAGTCTGGGTCCGATGCAAGGACCTGTGGGTTATGGGCCCACCACGCATCTGCTGCGCATTCTTAAATAAAAAGGTTAGATTTCAATTACAAGATGGATGTGTCTGAACATCCATCAAGACCTAAGGGCTTTTGTGTGACGAGGCATGTTGAATGTGTAATATTAAACCTTCATGTGCTGCTTTATGTAGACTTGGTTTGTGACATGAACACAATAAAAAATCAGAAATAATTGGATGAGATCAACAACACACCTGACACATGTAATTTGATGCAAAATCATTAACTGCAGCCACCCCACAATGTATATGAGAAGCTATCTCTCGGGCATGACTTTGACTTCCTGAGAAAACAGCACAGCCGAGCCCATATTTTGAGTCATTAGCAAGCTTGATAACTTCTTCATCAGAGCTAAACTTCATTATTGGCATGATAGGTCCAAATGCCTATAAGTCAGATGCACAGATGAATCTAGTAAGCAGTTGCTGGAGCATACAAGATAGAAAGATATTCTTGAATAATAGTTGGTTGCACTACATGAGAATCAATAATTCAAATTTCAAAATCTCCAATACTTGAAGTAAAGATATGAGCCATATCTTGTAGTTGGTTACATATATATGGACTAAAACCAAAAATATTTTTAAAAAATGAAAAAAGTGGTTATGTGAAAATAGAGAAATAGCAAGCTTTGCTACCTCTTCTTGCATCAATCTCATGGAGTGATTCACATTTACAATCACAGTGGGGGGGAAATACTGATCAACAGCGTCTTCACCTATATGTCCAAAACTTCCACGAGCAACAATTTCAGCTCCTTTGTCTAAAGCGTCATTTACAAGACCTTCAAGCTTTTCAGAATGCTCATGCATGCATAAAGCTCCCATATCATACTTCCCAGCAAGTGGTGGACCCTGCAAGAAATCATTAACCCAAAACAGTTTATAGAGGTATAGAATTAGAAATGCATGTGTCCGGGTCACGACACGACACAAACACACTGACACCGCTAATGTTAAAAACATAGGACACCGATACCGCTACATTAATGACTATTTGACATTTATTTATTCATCTACTATTAAATACTACTAAAAGATTTAAAAATATTCTAATCAAAATTAATGTCTTTAATCCTTATTGATCAACATTACTTCATCACATGTTTAACCCTTCGAACACCAATTCTTAGAGTGTTGAAGCAAAGAAAAAAAACTATTTTTTAGGACACTTGTTTGAGTTTTCCGACATGTGTCGTAAGGGTGTCATAGAAGCGTGAACACCGCGACACGCCTACTCCTAGAGGTGTCTGTGCTTCATAGGTTACATTCCGCTCCACCCAAATTAAAGAGGGTGGGGATTGGATGTGATGGTATTCATTCTATCCGCTCAATTCCATTAACAATCCAAACAATCACACCTTCACTAATTCCACTCTATTATTGTATTTTAGGGTTAGTACTAAGTCTTAAAAATCCAAACATGGTCTGAGGCAGGTTTCTGTACTATATTTCATGATATCTTTCCTCATTCAGTTAGGATTAGAAGTTCAGTATAAATATAAATAAGGTTTAGTGTTTTTACTTTAATGTATAAAAGCATAATCATAATCATAATTTTCAGAGTTTTTATTTCTTTCTCTTCCCTCTATGGAAAATAGAAAAAGAGGCAAGCAGAAATGTAACAAAAAATGAGGACAAAACATCATATCATGAATCCTATGACTGTCTTGCAAAATTTCAGAATAAACTACAATAGATGAAACGATAAAATTCTGTAAGGTGCAAGCAAATGTGACAAGAAACCAATATTGATTTAGACAAATATTGAACAAGACATTTGTCATACAAAGACATGTGTCTTACAAAAACATGTGTAATATTTTTGAAATAAAAAAAACACTTACAGCCGTAACAGATTTTATGATTTTGGTAATTTTGCTGACAAAAGATGGATAAATGTTCCTATGGACATAAAATCGTTCAGCTCCAGCGCAGTTCTGCCCACTTGACTGAAGAAAAGCCCTGACAGCAATTTGAGCAACCTACATTCAGAAGATCAATGACTGTTAAAACATAACTATGGCATTAAACTATGATTATATCATTATGTTGTAAGGTCAACATCTGCAACCAAATTAGGTCATTAATTATATGCAAGTCTTTGGAAATTATAAAATGTGGAAGGTATTCATTCATACATGATCCACATCTACATCTTCACAAACAATAAATGCATCTTTTCCACCAAGCTCTAGTGTAACTGGTATAAGTGTCTCAGCAGCATTTTTCATTATCTGCATAAAAAGAGCAAGAAATATCATCGTAGTGCAAGCAAAGACTACTCATTGCATGGAATAGTAGACGCCATCTTGGAAATAATAGAAGCATATACGAAGTAGACAAACAATAACCCCAAACCATCTCATACATTTATTTTGCTTGTGCAGCATCACTGTTTAGACCAAAGGTATACTACAACTTTTGAGATTACTCTTTTCCTTTGTGAGTACAGAAAAGAGCTTCAGCTGATCCTAATACTACTCTAAACATTGACCAAATATCCCAGGGAAATTCTTTACTGAATGCATAACACATCAGAAACTATATCTTCTGAATCATAAGCAAAACTATCATGTGATACAATTCAGATGAGAAGACAGGTAGAACTAATTTGATTGGGCAGAGGAATCATATCATACCATCTTACCAACCCCAGGAGATCCAACAAAAATGACTTTATCAACAGAAGACACCAGTGCTTCTCCTGTTTCAGCAAACCTGGTAAGAAAGGTACAATTGAGGTAATCGATGCAGATATGACTAAGAAATTAAAGGGAAAAAGAAAGGGTAAAAAAATTAAGGCTCTACCCTGTTATCACCTCAACAAGGTCCTCTGGAGCTCCTATGGCAGCAAGGGCTGATTGGATGATCCGGAAGTAAAAGCATCCAGACCAACTTGCATGTTCTGATATCTACAGTCAAAATCATGGAGATTTTAGTCAAACTGAAAAACATTAACATAAAAAAGTAGGTGCTGCTATTGAATGTTGCAGAAATTCAATTGTTAAAAGAACATACAATATTATATTATCCCCATGAAAGCATAACAGTTAGCAAGGCCTATTGTTAAAAAACATCATAATACATCCATATGATAAACAATTTTAGAGAAGGTACTACTTGGTGCATATTATGCCATTTTATACCTTAATCACAATGCCATTTCCAGAAAAAACTGCTGCTAGCATAGGGTTAAAAATATTATGGAAGGGATAGTTCCATGACACAATGGCCCCAATAACTCCAAGGGGGTGAAATTCTACTCTGGATCTTTTATGAAGCATTGCTCTTCCAGAGGATCTGCAATTTTATTTATTTATTGCAAAACAAAAAACTGGTCATGAAAATGAACTTAGATTAGATGATTTCCAATATTAACAAAGAAACATCTTTTACTAATTAAAATAAAGTATAGAATCAAATCAAAGGAGATACAGTAACAAGCAAAGAAAATAAAATGAGAGACAACCTAACATGTCCATTTAAGCAGAGAAAATACGGGGGATACGGCCATACGGGACATCTACTTGTCATTGGCCCTAAGAAACATAAGTATCATTTTTTTTTATAAATAAATATAAGTAGAGAACTGCTAGAGTTTTCAGTCTAAACTCTATGAAAGATGGGAAAATATATTATATATATTATTAAATACAAAAAGATTGAGACAGGTACTGTTAAGTGTCAACTTTTGGATAATTTTCATATCATTTATTGACAATTTCAAATCCTTTATTATATGTCTAATTAGGATAAGCACTTATTTTAAGTCATTTTGCTTAAATATAAATAATTCTGAATGTCTTGATATGTTTGTTAGTTTTTCAGCAATTTTTGTTCAGATAATGCGGCATGAAGCCGGCTCAAAGTTGAAAAAGCATGTATGTTGATTTGACTTTTCAAAGATGCATGCCCGGCGATTCTGGAGGCGATGGAGTGAAGCGTCGCCCGGCGGCGCAGAGGCGAGAAGAGCTGGTTTTTGGGGTAGCTCCTGGAGTGTCTCGCTCCTTGAAGCGCCCGGCGAAAGAAGAGTCGCCCGGCGAAGCATCCTTGTTGCCGGGCAACGGTTGATATTTTTCTGCTTGTTTCGTACGTCAATTGCAGTCATGTGGTCCATTTAGTTAGTGTCGCCCGGCGATGGTAGGCGGACTGCCCATACTTATAAGCCACTTTTGTGATATTTTGCGGATCATCTTCAATCCTTTGTACCTTGTAACGTAGAAACATAATTTTTGAGTAAAAAACTCATTTTCCTCCATTTTTACCAAAATCAAAGCTTTACAACCTCAATCTTTGATACTTCAAGGTTGATGTGTTCATAAAACTTTGTTGCTTATTTGTTTATCAAGCTATCATGACTATCGGGAGCTAAACATCTCTTGTATCAATATTAAAGGTAGTTAACTTAACTATTATGTATTTCTTTTGATCATTTTGTATATGAACTTGGTTGATAATTAATATATGTTGAATATCTTTGCTTTATTTGTTCTTTTTATTGTTTGGATCATTATTGAGAAGTAAGTTTCAAACTTGACCTAATATATTCATCTATTAATGAGCAAACTCTAGACATGGATTTGTGAGTTAGCATTCACTTGTATCAAGCTTTAAAGATTATCATGTTAATAGTTAGGTTGAGAGATCATTTAAAGATTAACATGATAATACTCACAATATTGCTTAGACACGAGTGATATTGAGAGGATACGTGAATATATCGATCATCAATTAGTTCATATGCTTAATTAATCGAATATGTATGAAATAGGTTAACGAAAACTAATCTTGACATGCTTTTTATCGAAACAAACCTTTCAAACAAAATCTGTCTTTTATCCAAATCACAACATCTTGCATGAAACCAAATCTTTTTGTTACTAAAACCCAATATCAAATCATTGTTTATGAATCCAACACTTAAATTCACTAAAACTATAGAACAGCGGTGATATCACACCAATCTCTGTGGAAAATGATAATATAAATACTTGTGTAAAAAAAAATACTCAACACCAAAATGGCGTCGTTGTCGGGGATTGGCATTTGATATTGCAAGCATTGCAATAGTTTAAGTGTTTTAAGTTATTTTATCCTATTAATATCTCTTGTTTTTCACTTGTTTTGTTAGTGTTTTCAGACTTTAGTTTATGCGAGGAAGTCTTTCTGAAGATCAACTCCTTTTTTATCATGAAGTCGAAAGGACTTGCAGGAAACTTAATAGCAAGACTAGACGAAGGAGAAAGCTAGCGAAAGAAAGGAGAGAGAGAGGAGAAGCGTCTACTTCTGCTATATCTTTGAACCAAGATATAGAAGAAGTTATGGCGGCAGTTCCACCAAGAGGTCCTTGTACAAATAGTCTGAGGTTGAATGCTCAGTTTGCTCGAAATGCAGACCAAAGACATTCTGAAATGAAGACTGGAATTCTACAATTGTTGTATCATAACCCTTTCACTGGGTTAGATCATGAAGATCCGTACACTCATCTCACAAAATTCTATGAGATAGCGGGTGCTATAGAAGCTCCGGAGAAGGATGAAGAACAAATGTTTAAAAGACTATTTTCACATTCATTGATTGGTAAAGCTAAGGATTGGTATCTTGACCAACCTAATCAAACCATGACGGATTGGAATTTGCTTGAAGAAAAATTTCCTGAAAGGTTCTTCCCACAATCACGTTTCTTGGAAGCCAAAACGTCTATTTCGGTGTTCTCTCAAGGCGGAATCGAATCGTTAAATGAAGCTTGGGAGAGGTACAAATCTATGTTGACAAAATGTTCGAGTCATGGTTTTGATATCATTAGTCAAATGCGTATTTTTCGAAATGGACTTCAACCACAACCAAAGCTTTTGTTAGATACTACAGCGGGAGGATCACTTATGGCAAAGACCACGCGAGAGGCGGTTGAAATTATTGAAAGAATGGCAAGGAACGACCACCAAGTTCAACATGATCGGGATATTGTTCAAAAGAAAGAAGAAACAAATGATTCGAGAACAAATGATGCTCTTTTGACCCAAAATAAATTATTCGCTCAACAAGTGGAAGAATTGACCAAGCAAGTGGCAAGGCTTCCTCAACAATTAAGAGAAATGCAAGAAAGGCCTAGCAATCAAATACAACAAGTTGCTTGTTGTGAGTTATACAAAGGTGACTATAAAACCGGATTTTATCCTCCGATTGAAGAGGAAGCTAATTATATGGGGAATCAAGACCAAGGATACCAGCGGAGGCAACCATATCAAAATAACCAAGGTAACCAACAAAGAGGTAACCAAGGTTATCAACAAGGTTGGAGACAAGATGGCAACACTCAAAATAGACAAAATCCTTATCAAAACACATAAAAATTCACAACCTCAAGCTCAAAATTCAAATTTACAAGACACTCTTGCTCAATTCATGCAAGCATCTATGGCAAATCAAAAGAGTAATGAAGCGGCAATCAAAAATTTGGAGACTCGAGTGGGTCAACTAGCCAAGCAATTGGCCGATCAAAATGCTGGAGCATCATTTTCGACAAATACTCAAACTAATCCTAAGGAGCATTGCAAAGCAATATTAACTAGGAGTGGTAGAGTAGTCGGAAGTGAAGTTGGTGATGAAGATGAAATTGAGGAAGTTGTAATAGAAAAAGAACTTGAAGAGGAGATTGTAGTAGAAAATAATCATGAGGAGGAGTTAGTTGAAAAAAATCAAGAGGGGGAAGGAGAAAGTGGTGACTTTACCGGTTCAAAATTTACCATATCCTCATGCTCATTTAAAGAAGGACGATGCAAGACACTACGCTCGTTTCATGGATATCTTCAAACAATTACAAATCAATATTCCATTTTCCGAAGCGAAAGAACAAATGCTGAAATATGCAAAATTTATGAAGGATATCTTGACTAAGAAGAAAAGATACATGGATCAAGAGACTATCATGGTTGATGCTAGTTGTAGTGCAATCATTCAACGGACTCTACCGAAGAAAGAAAGTGATCCGGGACGGGTTACTTTACCCGCTACAATCGGTGACGTTTATGTCGGAAAAGGGTTGATCGATTTGGGCTCTAGCATCAATTTAATTCTATTGTCTATTGTGAAGAGGTTGGGAAATATAGAGTTGAAATCTACAAAAATGACATTGCAACTAGCCGACAAGTCTACTACTCATCCTCATGGAGTAGCTTTAGATTTGTTAGTCAAAGTTGACAAATTCTTTTTCCCGATGGACTTTGTTGTTATAGAGATGGAAGAAGACGTGGATGCACCTTTAATTCTTGGGCGACCTTTCATGAAGACCGCAAGAATGATGATTGACATTGATGATGGTTTAATGAAGGTAAGATTTCAAGACGAGGAAATTTGTTTTAATCTCTTTGAGGCAATGAAACATTCTAATGGCAAAAGATATTGCTTTAGAATGGATGATACCGAAGAAGCAATACAAGATGTGACTAGTCAAGTTCATCTTACAACACTTCTTGAGAAAACTTTAACTAACTCTCTCTCTCTCTCTTCAAGTTCTAGATGATAGTGAGAAGAAAGAGCTTGAAGATTGTTTGGCGGATTTAGAGATTGTGAAAGAAGTCCAACCTTGAAAAGATGAGTTGGAAATTTTGAAAAAAGACTCAATTGAAGAAAAGTCAAGTTTAGAGTTGAAAGTGTTACCACCACATTTAAAATGTGTTCCTTGAAAGTGGTGGAAACAAGCCGGTTATCATAAATGGATCATTATCTTAGCAAGGAAGAAGAAAAATTGAGCATGGTTTTGAAAGAAAATTAAAAAGCAATTGGTTGGTTTCTCTCCGATTTAAAGGGGATTAGTCCGGCCTATTGTATGCATAAAATCATGATGGAGGAAAAATTCAAACCAGTAGCTCAACCACAAAGGCATTTAAATCCGATGATGAAGGAAGTGGTGCGAAAAGAAGTTGTCAAGTTATTAGAGGCGGACATGATTTATCCTATCTCGGATAGTACGGTGCATGTGGTTCCTAAGAAGGGTGGAATGACAGTAATCACCAATGAGAAAAATGAGTTGGTTCCGACAAGAAAAGTGACTGGATGGAGGATGTGTATCGATTACCAAAGGCTTAACAAAGCAACAAGGAAAAATCACTTTCCTTTTCCTTTCATGGATCAAATGTTGGAAAGATTATCGGGTCAACAGTATTATTGTTTCTTGGATGGTTATTCCTGATACAATCAAATATCAGTCAATCTGGAAGATCATGAGAAGACTGCTTTCACATGTCTGTTTGGTGTCTTTGCGTATAGATGTATGCCTTTTGACTTATGTAATGCGCCTG